GAAGTTGGATTATACATTGTCTTAATTTAGAAATTACATGAATGGAAGTTAGAAATTACATAGTAGAAGTAAGAAATTAGACGATAGCATGTTAGAATTTTGAATCTAATATACCGCCATAGGGGCCTGGGTATTGATATAAGCATGCATCCATCATAGACATAGAATTTAGCGCAGTTTGTTGGAAAGAGATAACAAAAAACAACTTGGCCTATGTGCACTAATGAATGATGGGTCACACGCATGACTCTTGACCTTACTACTGGAAACAAACACAGATAGCTTTGCCATGAAGTCAGAGGGCCCCTTTTCTCACAGGACACAGAGGGTCTCTTTTCTTGGACTTGGGGCACTTCAACTGGATTTGGTGTTTCGTTTCAGTTTAATTTTTGGATATTTTAAAAAAAAAAAGTTTATTACACTTTCCAATATAGGCCTATTTATATAGCAAATCTCCCCAGGGAGGTTTTCGCAAGATACTTGAATCGATATTTTGGTGCGTAACATCCACTCGACACAAATTAGGTCATTTCAGGAATATAACTCATTCATTTCAATAGTCAGTTTGTGTGTAGTGGTCTCTAGTAATGGAAGGAAACTGGAGTACTGGACGAACAATCCTACTCCTTGCCACGTACGAGCGGGAAATCGAAACCACGCCACTTGAATTATGATGCAATGCACACACGTTAACTATTCGCCCCCCCCCCCCTTTTCAATTCTGAACATTTAATGAAAGTCAAGATTTCTTCCATTTGATTTAGAGATCTTGTGATAATTTCAGTCCTAAATCAAATGTAATTACAGGCCTCATTTGTGGCTCTGATACGTTGACAGGCCTGCTTGTGTTCACCAAAAAAGTCATCATGTTATAATATCAAAAATCTTTATTACACTAGTAATGGCTTTTCTGGTGACATATAATTTAAACAAGAACTGATAATAAAAGTATGAGAAAAATAAATATTTGATATAAGGTAAATCATAATCTATTACAATCTGATACATGTAATTACAGAATGAGAAAAAATATATGGTAAAACATAATACATTGCAATCTGCTAATTACAGTATGAGAACCAGCGATTGCCAGGCAAGATACGCCCATACTTTGCAAGAGATGGATTGAGAACAAGCAAACAAAAAAAGCTATTTTTCATACAATTAGGGGCCATAATCCATGAAGTTATGGTCTGAAATGCGCGAATATCGACATGGACTGAGATATTTGGGATATATATTTTAAGTTTCATCAAAGTTTGCGTCCAACCTCGTGGGGTTTCTCCGGGTCCTCCGGTTTCCTCACACTGCTAAAGACACCTACGCGCAAGCGAATTATTGAAATAAAATTAAATCATATGTTAGTCCCGAAATGACCTAGTTTGTGTCGAGTGGACGTTAAACCCCATCTCTCTCTATCTCTCTCTCAAAGTTTGCGTACGAGCAGGGGCGCAGATCGCCAAAAATTAGTAGTGGGGACAGTGCATGCCCGGGCGACTATTGGTAAAGAGGGGGGTCCTGTCTAAATTTTTTTTGAAAACTAGAGGCTCTAAAACGCACTCTGTGAGTATTATCAGCATCATTTTCTGGCAAACAATTCTAATCCCTGAGGCAGCAAATGATACGAAATCTAATCTAAAGACAAATCTTCAAGCCACCGTTCACGATTTATTCTCTTATGTAAACTACAAGAACTAGAAATATTTACACTACTGAGATTCCAGCCCCGCCTCCATTTCCAGTAGTGTTCGAAGACTACGTAAAGTCTTTGAGCAAAATGTGTATTCAATTGGATACAGGCCTACAAATCTTTTAATTTATACAAACTAAAACAAGCCACACACACACAGCTAAACATATCAATATTCAATCCCAATTGAAATAAATATAACATTTTACATCCAGTATACCATGAGATAAAAACAAAACCTCAGTTATTCCTTAACCCTTATTATAATACCCAGCGTACAACTTCAAGGACCCTGACCTCAAGGGCCTGGGACCAACTCTACACTTTCTGAAATGTCAATAAAAGCTCTGGAATGATTTCAATTTCAAAAAATAAACTGTAAGCAAAACATCGGAAATAAGTGGTGGGGACACAGTATATCATGTCCCTGTTAGGTGCAATCTTCACCCCTCGCGCAGATTGCAATCTGCGCTGTCATCCTGCGCAGATTGCACTCCGCGCGCGCAGATTGCACCCCGCGCGCGCAGATTACAATCTGCGCTTATGAAGCTGGCGCGCAGATTGCCGACTTTGCGCTGATTACCCCACGAAGTTTTTAGAGATATTGTAGTGTGTCAGACGCAACTATAAATTATATTATATATGACCTGCCTCCTGTGGTCTTTGTAGTGAAATAATTTTCAAAATCACTGCATAATTACCGTGTGTGCTTAGAAAATAAGATTTTAAATTCTAGTCAGCAGTATCTCATAATCGGTGCTGACCACGTGACTGAATGTCCAAAATATTTGCTGTAGTGTAAGTAATAGTTTGACCGATCGTAGTTACTTTAGTAACGAAGTCTTAGAGACCCGTATGTAGGTTCACAAAGTATGTCATGTAGACCTCTCGACGGAAACTGCTTTATATTAACTCAAAAGCTCTTCTACTACTTCCTCTTTTCTGGTAGTTAAATGCGGTGATACTTTTCTTTCCGTATCGATTTGCTCCGATTTGCTCGACCAGTAAACTGACGGTCACAAAATTCATTAAAATGTAATCATTAAAATGACTAATACTTACGCACTGATCCATAGTGAATACCCAGTGATTACGTTTCTAGTGTAAGGAAAGATTTGTAATATAAGAATCTTCAATGAAAAAAATGGAATTAAACAGTTAGAAGGTTTAATGGATCCATGTGATTTAAAGCGTCGACACATGGATCCAAAATTTTCACAGTCTACAACAGAATACAATAATAATAAATAATAATAATAATAGCTTTATTTCCAATCAAGGGTCCACAGGGGACATGGTACAGAGCAAACAAAGAGAGAAAACCCAAATGACAGTCAAGTAAGAAAATATAATAGTATACATAGTTCCCAACAGGGGAGATACACATATAAGTACCTTATGCACAAGGCTTCATGCCGAAAAAAAAAACGGCTCATGAGAACATTATTATCAATCATGAAAGGGAGATAAATCCACTTAACTCTTAATGTTACAGATCAATATTAAGCATTACAGAACAGCTGTATTCATCCGCAAAAAAATAGTACCTAAAATTCATGTACATTATATAGGTTTAAACGTCAAATGAGGTCAAATGAATAGAGACGTCTTTAATATATACTAAATATTCGTATCATCCCAAATCGACAATAAAACAGTGAGAAAAAGGAAAATCTAAGTAATGACAATCTAATTAACATAAAATTTACGACATAATGGATTCTTCAATGTTTTAATGGTGATCATGAAGAAAATATGCCTACATCTGTTCTCAGGAATCCGATAAGATTTTCAAAAAAAAAGATCAGTAGAATTATAGATTGTTATTCCACAAAGTCGAAAGGTATGTTAGATTTTTCATTCAGTCAAGTTAGAGCGAGTTTATTGCCGTACTTTGAGCTCCAAACCCGATAGAAATGAAGGCGGAAGTGGCCATAATAGTTTTAGAGATCACTACGTGGTGGCGCTCCTGCGTCGCGACAAACGGGGCCGATTTGTCGAGTAAGATTAGGTGGATTATCATCGCGGTAATCCATTTAAGTCCGGACAAAGCCTAGTTCACTTCGCGCGCGCAGATTACTCATCGGAAATTAGACGGAGATTCGCGCATTCGCGGGAGTAATCTGTCCAAGGAGGGTAATCTGCGCTCAACATCCCCATCACTAAAAATATTGGTGGGGACGCGTCCCGGGGCGACCATTTTGTCCGGCAGTTTCGATCAGATTTTCAGAAAATTCGAACTCAATCATCATTAGGGCGTAACGGTTATATATTCAAACGTTTTTTTAAATCGGATACAAATTGTGACCTCTAGAGGGACCACAAGCTAAAAACGAGATTTTTCGTACAATCAACGGTCGTACGTAAATCAGAAAGTTAAGATCCGATAAGCGCGAATATCGAAAGAAACCAGATGATAATTGTGACCTCTAGAGTGTCCACACGCTAAAAAAAACCGTGACTTTTCGTACAATCAGGGGCCATAATTCATGAAGTTTCAATCCGATACATGCCAATATCGAAAGGAACCTTTTGGAGATAAACCTATATTTCAAGTCTCGTCAAAATCGGATAAGAATTGTGACCTGTATAGTGTCCACAAACAAATTATGGATGGACGTCCGGACGGACAAGGGTGACGACAATATACGTCCATATGAAAATGTGGGCGTATAAAAATATCTATTTGATATAAGGTAAAACATAATACATTGCAATCTGCTAATTACAGTATGAGAAATATCTACAAACTTTCAGATGGCTCCTATGTTGGCGTTTCGAGATGTACATATGACCGTAAACATACTAAACATATGGAGGAATCGGGTTGGGGTAGGCTCACTGCACACGCAATAACTTCTAAACAGCTTTGGTGGTTTCAATATCTTTATTTCACTAAATCGACAGATGCATAAGGTATGCACATGCCGAATTTCATTAACTTTCTATGTTGGCGTATCGAGTTATACCACCGCAAAGTTCCTAGCACCCGGATTCGAGGTGGAGTTTGTGGGTTCAATAAACAACGGGTACGCTCACAAGCTGCATCAAAAAACGACCCAAACCAGCTATGCAGGTGGGAAAATGTTTTTTGTTTCACGGAATCAAGAGATGAATAAACTACTAGAATACAAAATTTCAGAAGGCTCCAATTATTGTGTGTCTTCAATGGTTTAAATAGTAGCGCGGGCATTTAGTTATTCATTCCGTACGCTCACTTCAACGGCTAAACATTGTGTGTTGTTAACCGCGGCTTTCGACGATGAGGGTCAAGGTCATAAAACGTCCGCTCAGCGCAACGTCCGCTTACTTCAGCCCAACAGAGAAGTGTATTTTTATGCAGGTAGATTTAGTATCGTGGCTGATGCAATATAGTCCTAGCTTGAAAAAAAAGAAATTCATTAGGTCTGAAGCGGCGGAAAACAAGACATACAAAGATGAAAATAATAAGTGATCGAGGGAATTTCCAGTCCATAAAATTATTGATTGCAGCTAAAACATCTTGTATCGATGTAAAATTTACGGTAGTTAAACCGAATGGTAGGTAGGCCTTGATCTCTTGATCCTTGTGACGTTGGCAGTAGGCTGCCAGTAGATCTTTCAGGTCATATCTTATTGACAGAAATATTTTATGAAAAATACATTAAAAAAAATGGTAAACCCCCAAAATATGTTTTTTTAATCAAAATATTCCAATTGCTGTCTGAACCATCGTAAATTTTAACGGATTTCTTCGATTATGAACAGGTTAAGCTACGGTAGGCTACTTAACTTTGGTTATTATAAACTTAACTGTATGTTTGAAATCAACTCCCGTTCAATAAAATCCATTGCACAACTAAATATCCCAACGAATAAAAAAGTTCTCTCTTGACAAATTTGACTATTTACTTGTAATTTTGACGGAGTAGAAGACAACAAAGCTTTCGTCGCATTTTTGGGTAAACCAATGCTAGGGAGGTCAAGATAAATTTTGACTTTAATTATTATTATGAAAATGATTGTGTTAGTCATTTTGTTCTCATTTACTTGAACATTTCAGCGAAAAAATTATTGAAATCCGTTCAGTAGTTTTCAATTCGCAGCAAAACTAGTCAGTCATTTTTTCAACATATATGTCCATACACAGTCAATAGTAAAATAAAGGTAGAATTACCACGGTGACAATATCCTTTCAATGCAATATTAATCAACTTTTAATGCATTTTTATTCATAACTTTCTTATTATTGATATGATCACAATAAAATTTGGAACATTTGTCGCGCAAGTATCCATAATGAATATAAATTTAGTTAAAATATGTGCATACATAATGAGCAAATTTGCATAAATTATGCGTAATGGTCGTAATTTTTTCAATTATGGACATTTTTCATCATATAAATGGAGAAATAAGGTTTTGTATGTCCTTTTCAAAGTATCAGGGTGAATTTTAAGTAAAACAATACAAAATAATATAAGTTTATATGCAAATTAGTTTACCTAATTTGCATATTCTATTTAATATATAAAATCAGAATTTTATATTGTTCATTCCTTTATTCATTTAAAAAAACTAAAAAACTACCAGGTTAAGGCTTCTTAGTACACCAATTTTCAAACATATGGACTAAAATTAAAATCATGAATATTTTTTCAATGGGTAAGCTAATTTGCATATTTTATGCTAATTGATTATAAAATGTGTGGTTTGCCTTCTTTATGCCTTGCACATGTATACTTTATATAAAATTGTTAACATACTGTAATAATCTCAAATACTAAGAACAAGGTGTTTGAACTGTGTAAATAATTATTTTCAATTTATGCTGAGTGCCTAATCTGCATAATATATGGATCCTATTCTGGGTTGGGCCTATAGACTATATATAAAATTGTGTCTTGTCCGTGTGTTTGTCTTGAGTAATTGTTTCTGTGGGGCGGTCCTCCTGCACTTCAAGCAGTCAAAGACCACAAAACTATGTAAATCTGACTCAGTACAAGTGAGAAGTTATATTTCTTGTCATTTCTGACATCGAATAATCACATATCATACAAAATTCCAAAATTTTTCATTCATAATTTCTGAGAAAAGAATAGTTATTGAAACTAAGGGGAGTAAAATACACAAATGAACAGCTGTTTTATACAGTTATTGGCACACTGATCCGCAGTGAATATTCGCTTGGCCGCTACAATCACTGATAAGGATGACATCGATGCGACTTAATGACTACAAAATATTAACTTTTTTCTTTTGACAAATTAAATTCTGAAACATTTTTTTTTAGTATTAGAAAAATAAATAAAGGTGTTTGAAGTATATCTTGATAAAAAATATTCCATATTTAGCGTAAATAGGTACAGAAAATAGTACGCGGAGGCGTAAAATGGATAAAACGATATAATTCTGCCCGTACCAGTTCATATTACTACGTTCGATGTAAACAACGCACGTGTGACCATCAATTTGACGTTTTTTTCTGTTTGTTTACTCTGAATTCTTTCAGAAGTACATTTTTTACCGTCTAATCTGATTGACCTGCTCGTGTTTGTTTTTAAACAACAAAAACAAGCCACAGAAGTAATCTTTTTTGGCGTTATCGATGCCATCTTGCTTTGTTGATAAACATTGTGATGTGACGTCACCCTTAGAACTACAGCGGTCTGACCTTTTAAACGTCAGTCATCTTGGACAGAGATAAAAGACGGATGTCGCATTAGGTCTGTAAAACAGATTGAGTTATTGGCAGTAAGACGTGCAGTTACGACTGTTCTTACAGTCGTTTTCACTCCCTCTACATATAACCACGCTCATTTTCTAACATAAAAACTTCGGCTTTTTTACAAAAATCATCACATTTTACGCATTGCTGACCAACCTTCAAGCAAACTGTCATTTATAAGCGATGATATTTCTTGGTTTATCAAAGAACAAAGCTTTAGTGTGTTCCTATCAACCAATTTGGGTTCCACCATTTTGCCGTTGTCATCGACCCGTCCGCCATGTTGGTTTTTGCGCAGCGAACGAATTCATGGAATGGTCATTTAAATAGAATTTTTACATTGGTTCTCAAGTATTAAATTACATTATTCTGACATGATCATGGAGAAGAACGGTTATTCATGGGCGTTGATTTATCATTTTTGGGAATTTCATATAAGGAAAAATTCATTTATTGGAAATTCCATACGGAAAAATTGCGTTTTCTTCAAATAATCGGTCAGTTGGGTCATGGAACTCTGGAAAATTCTATTTTCAGCAACATCCTAGTATTCCTCAGGGAATTCCCTTTAGTTTGATACATAATTCGTGATAGTGACTACTGAGGAACCATTGTCAATATTTATTTTCGTGGAGGTATATCCCGGAATGTTGACATCTCGCGCCGTAATGTTTGAGAGAAACAACACTTACGGAAACAAATATTTACCAACAGAAACAAAAGTGGCTGATAAAAAAATACTTTTGGGCAATTTTACACAATTTAATCTTATAAAATCAACAAAAACTTCAAAGATTTCAACAGTAAATATTTCATACAAGCAGGTTAAACACGGGCAAATTTGGGAAAAGTAAGTGGCATTCAACTGCGCATGAAGGCCATATTATTGCTTCACTGACCTCCCTACCAATGCAGGGCAATTTTGACAGATAGTTTGGCAACCACATGTTGCAATGAAAACAAAGCGCGATCAATACGATCGTTTGAGTTTGGGCGACGAACAATGTCAACTGAAGGCAATTACATAGATTTATATTGAAACCATTAATCGCCAGTCCATCAAATTTTATTCACAATGAAAATATCACTGATTGCACGGATACTCGAAAAAATAAAGTCATATATAAACTAAAAATATCCTATCTTCTTTATGTTAAAAATAATATAACATCATGAAGCTCACCTCCGAAGTCTCCGAGTGCATTGTTAATTTGATAGTATTCTTTCGATCAAATAATAACCGCTTCAAATAATTAAAACAAAATATTTCAAAAGGTAAAGTTATAAAATTTGCAGAGATTTTACTAGAATGTAAAATACGGTAACAAAATAAAAGAATACGGACAGTTATGTGTGCGAACGCTCAAAGTCAATCCCGAGCCAAGACTTATTATAGCTTATTCTTAAACCAAACTTGAAATGTCGTAAAAGTACCGAAAACCGTTTTGATTTTCTATGCTGTCACTCCTTATACAAAATTATATCTCCCGAAGAGTGACGTAATCAGCTTCCATATTGGAATTTATTTCTGTGTCAAAAGTTTGTGGGATTTCAATTTTTCAAGAGAGATGTTTTTTATTCGTTGAAATAATTAGATGTGCAATGGATTTTATTTAACGGGAGTTGATTTCAAATACACAGGTAAGTTTATAATAACCAAAGTTAAGTAGTTTGTTTATAATCGAAGAAATCCGTTTAAAATTTACAATGGTTTAGACAGTAGATCCAAAGTTATGGAATTTTAAAATCTGAGATCGACGTCAATTAATTAATGTAATCAATATCAATATCATATGCTCTATACAGTCAATGCATGCCATGGTTCCAAAATAAGTGCTTTTCAGGTATCTGACCTCATAAGCGGTATTTCCTTTCCAGAAGGGGGAGGTCACGGTGGCTAAGTGGGTAAGACGCTGGCTAGCTAGCTTAGAGGTCGGTTGTTTGATCCCTGCATTGACCGAGAAAGTTCATGCAGATTTTCCGACGTGGTTCCCCCTTGTCAATGATGCAGTTTACAAAAAACTGAGGTCCCAGTTACACATTGGTGTGCACATAAAAGGTCCCTTGACAGTTGGAATTCGATATAAGAGTAGGCCATAGTGCCACTGTCTGGGGAAAATTTCTCTCATACATAGCACATTGTATGGCGTACGCCCCTCTTCATTAGCCCAGTTCGGAGCAGAACAGTAGGACGTTAAACTCCATTTCATTTCCTTCCAGAAGGAGCCACGGTGGCTCTGTGTTTGATCCATGCGTTGGCAGAGAAAGTTCAACAGGATTTCCCGGTGTGGTTTGACTTTGTCAGTGGTGCAGGACGAAGGGCCTGGCAAGGGACATTGCATAGTCATTTGGATGGAACAAAAAACCTGAGGTCCTGTGTACACATTGGCATGCATGTAATAGCGCCGCTATCTGAGCAAAATTTCACTCATAGCACACTGTATGGCATAAGTGTGCCCGTCTTTATTAGCAGAACAGATTTCCCTTCCAGAATCGCTCGTACCGTACCAATTTTTAAACTGAAATCCGCGAATATTAGCCAGCCAAACCTGATTAAAATTGTATTAAATTGAATAATAATATATCAAATATATATAATCTTGATAATGCCAGATAAAAAAACTGGTACATATCAGTCGGATATCCCGGTTTCTAGGGCTGTTATTGCCGTAGATTATAGTATCAACCACCAAAATTATCAGAAAAATGTTTGATTGGTTCCAAATAAGAATCTCGCTTAGGATAACTCCTGGAACGGCCAATGAAATGAACCGTAGCGAATCGCGTGGATGGAAAATCCCTTTTAGAGTGATATTTCCCGCCTGTGTCTCCC